TCCCGGGGGCCGCGTCTGGCGCCACCTCGTCGTCGAACACCGCGTCGTCCCGCGCTCCGCTCTCAGGCGGCCCGGCGGCGTCCGCGCCCGGCGAGTCGGTGGATTTCTGCGATCGCCTCCGCCGGCCCGACCGGCGGCCGCTCGATTTCTTATCCATGTCGTCCGAGTCGCCGAAATCTTCTTCTGCCCCGGGAGCAGCGATTCCAACCGGCTCGTCCACCGGCACCACCTCGGTCTTGCTCAAGTAGATGTCCAAAGTCAACGCTTTGGAGGGATGCGCGCGCTCGCCCGGGGTGGGAGGGCCACTGCGCGGGCCAGAGGCGTCCTCGGGGGGCTGGGGGTCGCTACACGCACCCGCGTGGGGGGCTCCCTCGGGGACCTCGCCTCGTCCTTCCACCGGCCGCTCCCGGGTGGGAGATCCCGACGCAGCCTCCGAAGCCCGGGCTGTCTGCTGCGGGTGCCCAGCGTCCGGCGGCGCGTCCTCCCCGGGACGGCGTGCGTGCGCCTCTGCGCTCTCTTGCCCGGAGCGGTTCGGCGCTGAGGAATGCGGCTGCTTGGCAGCGGTGGTGGCATCTGGGAACGGCTCTCCCTCTGCCTGCAGGGGTTCTAATTGGGGTGAATCACTGTCGGGGCTCGGCTGCCCGGCCGCGGCACTCGGCGAGCCAGGTGACATTTCGGCGGCGTCGCCCGAGGTTGCCAGGACACAGCCCTCGCCTTGGGTCTCCTGGGAGGAGCTGTCCTCCCTCGGGTCCGGTGGCTTCGGTTGGTGGTTCTCACATTTACTTTTCTCACTGTCTCTTTCAGGGGCGTTAGAAGAGGTTACATCTCTGGGAGAGGCTGGTTTGGTATTGGAGCTGGTGGAACCCTCGGGGCCAGACCTGGTGTTCCTTCTCCTTCCAGCCGTGAACAGAGTGCCAAGTTTCCCCAAAACCGGCTTCTTTCTGTTATCTTCCGGTGGCTGTGCTCTGGACTGGAAAATAAATAAAAGGGAAAGACAATGTGAGAATCCTGGTGCTCTCCGCTTTACTAGTTCGTTACAGAGTTGCTTAAACTAGAGGCCAAATTCAATGTAGACCTCTACTTGCTATTGCTAAAATGGGGCGGTGGATGGTGAGCGCCCCTGGCTGACACCTATAGTCCTAGCGACTCGGGAGGCTGAGATTTCAAAGCCAGCCCAGGCTGACCACCCCGCGAGACGAACTCACCTCCAGTTACCAACAAATGGCTAGTGTGGCTTAAGTGGTTCAGCTTTGAGGGATAAAGGCCAGGTGCGAATGCAAGGCTCTGAGTTCAAGAGGAGAGCGAGGAGAGAGAGAGAGGCTGTCTTTATTCATTCTTATCCACAAAAAACCCTCTAGAACTTTACTTTTTGAGCCTTTACTAAATGAAGTAACTTTACTTTTTGAGCCTTCACTAAATGAAGTATGGTTTGGGGCGCCACGTGACTGAGGACGGCATTTCCTTTCATTATAATGCTTTGCTTTTTCACGGAAATTCGGAAAGCCCATGAACCCAAACAACAAGACACAATTCCACGCGTGGCTGCAGAGCAGCGGCGCGCGCCCAGCATCGCAGGGTGGGATTTGTCCAGAGCCACGCAGGGCTCTCCCTTTTCTAAGACAACGGATTCGTAGTCCCCCCACACACACACCGCCCCGCACCCACCCCACCCCCAGACCAGTAAGAAGCCACGTGGGCACCACACGAGCAGGAGGAAAACCTTCGGAGAGCGGCACCCAACTCCTCCCGGATCGCCGCGCCGCGTTCCTCCAATGAGAAAGGCGCGCAGCATTCAAACGCCCCGCCGCGCCGCGCCGCGCCGCTCCGAGCAGCCCCGCCTAAGCCCGGCGCTTTCCCCAACGCCAGCGCCGACTGGGATAAATAAATACCCTGAGGTCGCGGGACGGAAAGACACCGAAGGCCGAGGGGGCGCGAGGGCTCCGGACACCTGGCCAGCCGCAGGGGGCGGGGGGGGGACGCTGGGGAAGGAAGCGCGTGGCCCTGCGCCCGTGGGACCCGCCCACTCCGGGCGGGGTGGGGCTGTCGCAATCGGTCCCCTGGAGTCTCAGAATGGTGGGGGGGGGGGGAACGAAACGCCAGGCACCTGGGGCCGGAAGCCCGGGGGGAGCCCCGAAGAAATCCAAAAGCAAGTTCCAGTGGGCGCCCCAGGCACGGGTGTTCGCCCTCTCGGGGAAGCAGGCTGGGTGCTGGCTTGAGGGAAGGGTTGGGAAAGGAGGCCGGAAGGCTGGGCGAGGAGCCTTGAGCCCACCTTTGGGCCCCTAGGTGCCCTACGGTCCCCTCAAGAATTAACTCTTAGCTAGGCGCCAGTGGCTCATACCTATGATCTTAGCTACCCAGGTGACTGAGATCTGAGGATCCAGGTTCGAAGTCAATCCCGGGTAGAAAAAAATCCCTGAGACTCTTCACTTAATTAGCAAAAACTGGAAGTGGAGCCGTGGCTTAAGTGGTAGAGGGCCAGCCTTGGAAAAGCTAAGGGACAGTGCTCAGGCCCTGAGTTCAAGTCCGGCACAAAACCAAAAAGAAACTCTTACACTCAGAACCCAGGTGCTGGCTGGAGCACCTGGTGCTGGCTGGAGCACCTGGTGCTGGCTGGAGCACCTGGTGCTGGCTGGAGCACCTGGTGCTGGCTGGAGCACCTGGATCAGGAGCCCAAAAGCAAGCCCCACCTTTCCCGGAAGGTGAGCAGCACGAGGCAGGGAGATTCACTGACTCCGCAGGGAGATTCACGGCCCTCTCTTACATTTCATTTGCGCTCCATGCAGCTGTAAGGTGACGCCTGTGTTCGGGCAATCCTGCAGTGTGACAGCCGGATGAGTAAAGATCTGTGCAGACAGGAAGGAAGTTCCCAAAGCTAACAGACTAAAACAACCCGCTCAGGGGACGATTCACACCCTGCGATGATTCCACATCAGACTCTTAAATCCGTTACAGCTGTCAAACCCATGTAGTGCATGGGGAGGTGCCCACCCACCATAGAGCTGATGAGCCTGTGGCTCAGGAATCAGATCACGACCTCTATCATCTCTCCCCACCCCCTGGCAGAGCTTCTGCCTGAAAAGCACCAGGTGGGACTTTGCAAGTATGGAGCTGGACTGACTGGTGGCCTAGTGATGGAGCCATTCTCCCAGCTCTCAAAACTAGACTATTTGCTTCTAAAATCCCACCAGAGGTTGCTACTTGATCTAGTTCTTCCGTGGTTATAGAAATAGAGAAGGATTCACTATGGTTTAATTTTAAAAACTGAAGCAATTCTGGCTTCCTAAGGAAACATTTGGATTCTTTTATTACAAGTCAAAGTATTACAGGATTTTAAGTCATAATACATGCTCACAAGCCCTCCTTATGTAAGACACCTGCTAAATGATTTGTGTAGACTTTTATTTTTATTTTCCAACAGCCCTCATGCTAGGTAGTCTTCATACCTGTTTGTCAAGATTGCATAGCCAATGAAGCCTTTCTAAGTCTTAATATAGAGCTCTTTGTCTCCACCTGGACAGGCCATCAAATCTATCTTGAAGAAGTTGCAGGGGAAAGTAGGTTAGAGTCCATTGGCTCAATTCCAGACTGTCCAAATACAACTAAGCCTGTATTATTCTCTCTTGCCTGAGGAGAGAATATGTTGCAATCCCATTTTCCCATGCTGTAAAGATGCACTGTCAGCAGTCTTTCTCTCTGCTCACTATATGCATCTCCTTTTCCAGTTTTGGCTAAAGTTGCTTTTTGGTTTTTTTGGTGCCAGTCCTGAGGCTGGTTCTCTGGGTCTAGACACTGTGAGCGTTTGTGGGTTTTTTTTTTGTTTTGTTGTTTTGTTTCTTTGCTCAAAGCTAACATTCTACCTCTTGAACCACTGTGCCATTTCCAGCTTTTGTGTGGTTAATTGGAGATAAGAGTCTCACAACCTTTCCTGCTCCAGCTGGCTTCAAACTGTGATCCTCAGACCTCAACCTCCTGAATAAGATTGCAGGTGTGAGCTATCAATGCCAGGCTAAAGCTGCTTTTTACAAAACCAATTACTTGCTCTTCAGTTTAGCCATCAACTGCTAGATTCTTCCTGCCCTCCAGACATTCAGACTCTTTAGCACTTGCCAGAGTGTTCTGTTAATTTCCTAAAAGAAACTTTGAAAACATGTAATGACATGGGTGGTTCTCAAACCATAATGCTAAGTGGGTCTAAGGGTTCAACTCCATAGAAGAGTGACTATCTAGCATGTGTGAAATCCCACATCCAATCTCCAACTCCACAAAAAGAAAAAAAATAAAAGGAAGAAGCAAGACTAATGGTTGCAGTTCGTTGCAGCATTTATATGACATTGAAGCCAAGGCAAATCTAATACATAATGATACAAAACAGATTGGTAGTTGTCAAAGGTAAGCGGCAAGAGACAGGATTATGACGAGGAGGAGACAGAGGAACTTTGGGGTATAGTCTATATAGAAATAGTCTATATCTTAATTGGGGTGATGGCTATCTGTGTGTACATACTTTTCAAAACTCATCCAACTGTACCTTTAAATGAGTATATCAGCAGGGCACTGTGGTTCACTGCTATAATCCCAGCTATTCAGGAAATAGGCAAAACTGCTTGAGCCCAAAAAGTTAAGGCCAGCCTGGACAGCATAGCAAGCCCCTGTCACTTTAAAAACAAACCAATGAGCATAACATAATTTGGTGTATGTAAATTATATCTTGATAAAGTTGCCTTAAAAATCAAGCTTTTTCCTCAGAAATAGCGTAGAAATACAGTGAGTGACACCATCTATCTGACTTAAGTACACATTTCAGGTCTTAGGAAGGAGGACTCTTGAGTCATTTGGGAAGGAAGAGTCATCTACAAAGAATGCAGCTTTCCCCTGGGGGCTGTGATTGGCAGGAATACATCTTTGATCAGAATTGGCTAAGCAAAACCCCGTTCCTTGTATAATGTCAGAAATCTGTGCTATCTTCCATTTAATGGAAAGCTCAAGGCCAGGACACACAGCATAAATTATTAGTATGTTACAGTATATCTAAAATCATACTTATTGTTTTGTTTGGATTTGTTTCATTTGTTTTGCTTTATTTACCAATTGGAATCCTAGTTTAAATTTAGATATACTTCCCCTAAAACCATGTTTGGAGGATAAAGAAAAATGTGTTGAGAATATTATTTGAAAATGTAACCAACCATTTAAAAAATACATCTTTGGTGTTTACCCCCCTTTTTCATTCCCTGATAGAATGTAAGCCCCACACCAACAGGAAAAATGGCCTACGTGCCTTCTCAGAAGCTACCATGGGGGCCTCCTGCTGGAGCAGGATATCAAGTATTTGCTGGTGCTAAAGAATTTAGGGAAGTGGAGCCATGGTTCAAGTAGTAGAGTGCCAGTCTTCAGTGCAAAAGCTAAGCAAGAATATAAGACCCCTAAGTTCAAGCTCCAGTACCAGCACAAAGAATTTAGAATCCAGGAGTGGTGGGTGGTACATGCCCATAACACCAACACTTGCATGGCTATAGCAGAAAGATTTGGCAAGAGGTCAGCCTGGGCTGTAATAGCAAGTTCAAGGCTAGCCTGAGGTACATAGAAAGGCCCTATCTCAAGAACAAAACTATATATACAGAGGCAATTAAGACTACCCCTCTTCCCTTTCAAGGAGTTCTCACCATGCTTGAGGATAAAACACAATGAAAGGGGCTGGGAAGGTGGCTCAGTGGTAGAGCGCTTGCCTTGCATGCCTGAGGCCCTGGGTTCGATTCCTCAGCACCACATCAGCAAAAAGAAAAAAAGCCGGAAGTGGCACTGTGGCTCAGGTGGTAGAGCGCTAGCCTTGAGCTGAAGAGCTGAGAAATAGTGCCCAGGCCCAGAGTTCAGGCCCCACGACCGGACCCCCAAAAAAAAACAAAAACAAAACACAATGAAAATCTTTTCAGCCCCACATGGTATGGAAGAACTTTCTTCCTGCCTACAGGA